TACACCCCAAGGAACCTGAAGGCCCCCACCCTCTCCAAGTTTCTCCCATATCACCTCAAGCATACCTCATCTCCCACCTTCCTTCTGGTAAAGAACTGTTTAAGTTTTCTCTACAGAGAACCTTAATCCCCACATGAATTCCCACCTCTCTACCTCATCAATTGCTTCCTGTACCTTCCTGACTATGTATGGCATAGTTTCTTGCATTTCTTCCCCTCTTCCATAAGGCCCCATCATCTGTAAATAACGACCTCCCTATACCCGGCTGTACTTGAGAGTAAACATCAGTGATCATGATTGAGAACAACAGAGGACTAATCACGCTCCCCTGCGGTGTACTGTTATCCACCAGGTAGTTGCCTGATAAAGACTTCCCCACCCTCACCTGGATAGACCTTCCAAACAGGAAGTTCTTTATCCAGTTGTATGTTCTTCCTCCTACCCCCATAATATCAAGCTTGATTAACAACCCCTCTTTCCACATCATATCATATGCCTTCTTCACATAAAAAAAGACAGCCACAACAGTCTCCTTGTTCACCTGAGCCTTCCTGATCTCTGCTTCTAAGCAGAGCACTGGGTACATAGTTCCCCTCCCCTTCCTGAACCCACTCTGATGTGGCGAAACTAGACCCCTGCTCTCCAGGAAGAAAGTTAGCCTATCATATGTTCCATAAACTTACATACATGTGATGTTAAAGCTATTGGCCGATAGCTTGTTCGCCTCGTTGAGTCCTTCCCTGGCTTCCAGATTGGTACCACTACTTCCTCCTTCCAGCTGCCTGGTAGTTTCCCCTCCTCCCACACTCTGTTGTACAACACCAATACCTTATCCAGTGCTTCATCACTAAGATGGGCCAACATGACATAGCACACCTCATCTTTCCCAGGTGAAGTTAACCCAGCCTTACCTATTGCCCTTTTAATCTCTGCCCTGGTAAATGGTTTCATTCAACGCATAATTTACATCCTCCCTCCTATCCAGCACTCCAGGGTGCTCCCCTCTCATTCTCTCTCGCTCCCTCTGCCCCTCCTCTGACAAATTTGCCGAGCTATGCACTTGGACAAAGGCTTTGGTCATCATCTCTGCCTTCTCCTCATCTGTTACTGCCATATCTTCCCCACTCTTCAACACTGGATAATTCCACTCCCTTCTGACCCCACTCATCCTCTTAATCATCCCCCACACTTCTCCCACAGGTGTTGCCCTTCCAATGGTGTCACAGAACCAACGCCAACATGACCTCTTTGCCTGACGGTTCAGGGCCTGGGCCTGCTTATACTGAATCAGATGTTGGAAGTTATGCGTCCTTTTCAGTACTCTAAATGCCCTGTTCCTACTCCTCACCATTGCCCCACACTCCTCCATCCACCATGGGACTGCTTTCCTCCTCCTCCTCCCTGAAGTCTTAGGTATAGCCTCAGTAGCTGTCCCCACTAAAGATGTTCTCACCCAGTTATTCATACTATCCACATCCTCTCTCATATCCACCCGAGCCATCACCTGCTCACTCAGCTCCTGAAACTGGTCCCACTTTGCCCTTCCAAACACCCACCTGCCTACTCCATCCACTGACACCTTCTCCTCCCTCCGGCCTACTGTGCATACTATAGGGTAATGGTCACTCCCTACTGTCGACTCCTCCCATACCTCCCACTCACAGATTCCTGCCATCGCACTAGATACCAGAGTGAGGTCCAAGGCAAACTCTTTCCATGTGGCTACATCAATCCTGGTCCCTCTGCCATTATTCAGGCACACCAGATCTTTCATTTCTATCAGATTTTCCATCACTTGGCCATTTCCATCCATTCGTTCCCCAGCCTCAGCTGATTTAGGGAATCTCAAATCTCTTCCCATGTCAACCCTGTCATACTCAGATGTCTCCCAGCCGCTTTCACTATTAGCTGAATCCTCTCTGTTTTAGACTCTACTTTAGCAGTGCTATTGATTGCTCCTGCTATGAACGTCACCAGCTTTCTCTTATCTATGTATACCATATCTCTGCCCACCTGCCCCGTAATCCCCGGTCTAGATGCTCCTACCCATCTCTCCCTTGAACCTGTATCCCCCTAGACCTGGACCACCCTCACTGCCTCAGCATATGACACCCACTCTCACTTGTTGCACCTCCACTGCATGCTTCATTGCCGTACACCCACCATATGCCACATTATGAGCACCCCACAGCTGCAGCACTTTGGTTGTACACCATCCCACACTTCCCATTGCCATGCTCCCCTCCACACCTGGCACACCTCTTTTTCTCTTTACAGGCTGTTGCCACATGCCCAAACCTCTAGCACTTATAACATCTTAAAGGCTTCTGTACATAAGCACTCACATAATAACTTATATATCCTATGTTTACTTGATTTGGCAGTACCCTATCCTTGAAGTATAACAGAATAGACGGGCTATCTACCCTCACTCCATCCCTTGTTGCTTGCAGTCTTTGAACATTGACTAGAACGCCTCCTCTCAAATAGTCTCTTACCTCTTTAGTGCTAACACTCACAGGCACTCCTGTTATCACCCCTTTAATCCACCGCTTCCCTGCTTGATCAGTCCGGCTGCTCGACACCACCTTACACTTCCCTATTTACAAGCTCCCATCTCTTAACACTTCTGCATTGACAACTTCCCAGTCAACTCTTTTATCACAGCTGTCAACCTTATCGAACGCTCCCCTCGAGCATCCCATTGGCTCCTTCATGAACACCCCCCCTTGAGCACCCCATTGGTTCCTGCATGGATGCCCCCCCCCCCCCCCCCCCCCCTCGAGCGCGACATCTTCATGTTTGTGTCACTTTTGAATGTGGGTCAAAAGGGAAATAAATGTATTAACCGGTAGTCAGTATCATTCGCTCCCGCCTGCTGAACACCTGCCCCCACCAACATTAACAGAACTGCGGGAAAACAGGTGGCGAAAGAAACTGTCTACCGGAGGATGGGGCGACATCATGTGCTAACTAACTAGCATGTTAGCGACACCATGTGCTAGCTTGCTAGTAAGCTAGCACACGGTGTCGCCCATGCCTGCTGTGTACCGGATAAAACCGTGCCCAACAGGCGGGGTGAAGGACTCTGTCTACCGGTCGCCCCCGCCTCCTAGCTAGCACAGCAGCCGGGTGGCTGGGGCGACATCATGTGCTAGCTAGCTAGAATGCTAGTTGGCTAACTAGCACACGGTGTCACCCCCGCCTCCCGACTGCTGTGTACTGGACTAGCTGGCTAAGCTAGCACACTGTGTCCTTCGCTCCTGCCTGCCGAACACCTGCCCTCGCCATCGTTAACAGAACTGCGGAAAAACAGTGCCCGACAGGTGGGGACGAAGGACACTGTCTACCGGTGTACGGCTAGCTAGCTACCGTTGTCGCTCCTTCTTCTGTGGGGTTTATCGGGGCTGGCATCCAACGTTATTGTGGGGGGGTTTGGAGTTTGGAGGTTGGGGGGCCCCCAGCTAGCATATGATAGCAAAATGTGTAGAATTGCAGGAAATTATCTTTAAAACTGCAACATTTTCTCTTAGCCTCATGATAAAATGTGTAGAATAGCATTATAAAACAGCAAATTGTTCTGTCTGCACCATGGCAAAATTAGTTGAAATGCAGGAAGTTAGTGAAAAAAATAAACAGTCATCTGTTACTTTTATTCAGTGTGAACATGCAACAATGAAATGTAAAACAATGCAATCATAACGTCACAACATAGGATTGCATAAAACACCTCACTGCAAATAATCATTTGAATTTTTGTCTAGGCTACTCTATTGGAAAGTGGTTTGTAAAACGTTGCGGCCACATTTTTCCTGTGGTGGATATTCTCTTTCTCTGTCAGTCTCTCTGTTTCTTTCTCTCTCTGTCTTTCTGTGTCTTTCTCTCTCTCCCTGTGTCTCTCTCTCCCAGTATCTCCGTTTCTTTCTCTCTCGCTCTTTGTCTCTCTCTCCCAGTCTCTGTGTGTCTCTCTCCCAGTCTCTGTGTCTCTCTCTCAGTCTCTGTGTCTCTCTCCCAGTCTCTGTGTCTCTCTCTCCCAGTCCCACTGTTTCTTTCTCTCTCGCTCTTTGTCTCTCTCTCCCAGTCTCTGTGTGTCTCTCTCCCAGTCTCTGTGTCTCTCTCTGTCTCTGTGTCTCTCTCCCAGTCTCTGTGTCTCTCTCCCAGTCTCTGTGTGTCTCTCTCCCAGTCTCTGTGTCTCTCTCTCCCAGTCTCTGTGTCTCTCTCCCAGTCTCTCTGTGTCTCTCTCTCCTAGTCTCTGTGTCTCTCTCTCCCAGTCTCTGTGTCTCTCTCTCCCAGTCTCTGTGTCTCTCTCTCCCAGTCTCTGTGTCTCTCTCCCAGTCTCTCTGTGTATCTCTCTCCCAGTCTCTGTCTCTCTCTCTCAGTCTCTGTGTCTCTCTCTCCCAGTCTCTCTGTTTCTTTCTCTCTCGCTCTGTGTCTCTCTCTCTCCCAGTCTCTCTGTTTCTCTCTCTCTCTGTGTCTCTCTCCCAGTCTCCCAGTCTCCCAGTCTCCTTGTTTCTTTCTCTCTCTCTGTCTCTCTCTCCCAGCCTCTCTGTTTCTTTCTCTCTCAGTCTCTGTGTTTCTCTCTCTCCCAGTCTCTCTGTTTCTCTCTCTCTCTCTCTCTCTCTCTCTCTCTCTCTCTGTGTCTCTCTCCCAGTCTCCCAGCCTCCCTGTTTCTTTCTCTCTCTCTGTCTCTCTCTCCCAGTCTCTCTTTCTTTATCTCTCTCTCTCTGTGTCTCTCTCCCAGTCTCTCTGTTTCTTTCTCTCTCAGTCTCTGTGTCTCTCTCCCAGTCTCTGTTTATTTCTCTCTCAGTCTCTGTTTCTCTCTCTCCCAGTCTCTCTGTTTATTTCTCTCTGTCACCCCCTCTCCAGTCTCTGTGTCTCTCTCTCCCAGTCTCTCTGTTTATTTATCTCTGTCACCCCCTCTCCTACTCCTTGGCAGTTATTGGCTGCAGCTTCAAGTCTTCAGCTGCAGGGTCAGGGGTTGGGTTGGTGTTCGAAGACCGCCTGCTCCTCCTGCTCCTGAACACCTCCCTGACCCTCTGTCTGAATGCCTTGGAGAAGTAGTAGTAGAACACAGGGTCCAGGCAGAGGTGCAGCACCACCAGCAGTAACGTGGACTCCTTGGCCAGGAAGAGGTGTCTCTTGGTTTGGCAGTCTGGAGTGATGACCTGGGTCTGGGCTAGCGTATAGGGCGTCCGGACCACGTGGTATGGCACGAAGCACACCACGTACGCCACCGTCACCGCCGCAACATCGACGGTGGCGCGGCGAGCGCTGCGGCGCTCTTCAGGGTCCTTCCTGCTCACAAGCAGCCTCTTCAGCACCAGGCCGTTGGAGACGAGGACAGCCATGGACGCATTGAGGAAGATGATGGTGCAGAGGAAGACGGTGAAGCCGTGCCAGTGGAGTCCCACCTCCTGCTTCAGCTTGGAGCAGCTCAGGAACTCCCTCTCTGGGACGTCCTGAATGGGCAGGGCCATGTTGGGCACCATGATGAGGAGCACAAGTAGCCACACCACCACTGACATCAGCCTGGCGAAGCCCACTTCCTGGAGACGGAACAGTCTGGAGCTCTGGCTGATCAATCAATCAATCATTGTTTAAAGTGCCTCTAATTCTAGCAAAACATTTGACAAAAAACTTGCTAATAATCCTTACACAATAATTAAAGATTGTCCAACGTTAATATTATTAAAATAATAAAAAAGACAGTTTCAAAACCATAATAATACCTGATCTGCAAGTAGCAGTCAACGCTGATGAAGGTGAGGAAGAGGATGGAGGCATACATGCTGATGTAGATTACCACGCTGCTCACCTGGCAGTGGAAGACCATGAGGCCCCAGGGCGCCACGCCCATGTCTTTGGCCACCTTGAAGGGCAGGGCCAGGGTGAGCAGGAGGTCAGCGGTCAGGAGATTGACCAGGTAGACATTGATGCTCTTCTTGGTGTTATAGCTGAGTACGAATGCCCACAGAGCCACCAGGTTGGCAGCCATGCTGGTCAGAAAGAACAGGATGTAGAGCACGCTAAAAGGCCTCATCTGGTCATTGACGAAGCACTGAGTGAGGGCGTCATCGGTGGAGTTTGTTGGAAGTGTCATCATCAATTGGGGAGTAGATAGTCTAACACAACATGCACCTATGACAAAAAAACAAAAAACCCATGTGGTTAGGCCATACACATTTTTAGCAGTTTAAGTAAGGCGAGCTAGCAAAACATAAAAAAGTATACTGCAGTGATCTTATCACACCTATCAACCTTGTTTTTAATTAAAATGAGAGCTTTACATTAACTGTCACTCTTCCGTTGTGTCTGTTTGTTGGTTTTCAGCTGAGACACTGACGTCATTGTCTATTTAAAATGAGACATTACAGGAAGTGGTGAACACTATGAGTTTTATGTTCAACTTCTTTAGCGTATACACCCAGACGACACATCCTAGACAGTCAGTGACATATAGAAGTAAGCCAAAAATGATTTCCATTCTGAATCTCACCATTTTGTAGTTTGAAAAACAGTCTAACCATTTATTTATTTTATCTCACTTTACCAATGTTTCCTTGACAGTATTTCACCATTTGTACAGTAGATTGATGCAAATCCTATTTTTGGTTGAAAGGTCCTATAGGACAGGTCTATTTAGCATTAGAAACTGAGATATAATCTAATGCTTTGAAAGAGGACGCACTTTAATTACATATTTTATATCTAGGTGTTATTATTTGCTACAATGTTGTTTTGTCATTCTGTATGTTGGACTTCCTCTTGTAAAGGCCTTCATCATACCACACAAAATAAAAACACTTCTAGCTATATAACCAAGTCTATTATGTTATGCTTTTAAGGTTTTACATTTTGAGGACATGAATTTCTGTGGAGGGATTCTGCTGTCTGCTATCTGCTACAGGAACAGATGCCCAGAAGTAAGACATGCTCAATAGGGAAGTGTCATTTCTGTTCCCTAATCTGTGCTTTTGATCACACATGGAAATTAGGATAGGTACTAATTTCTAATGTGTATCATTTATTGGAGCTTGCTACAAATACATAAGACACAAAGCGCACATGCACTAAACCTGGTGTTTTATCTGGCTGTACGTGTAGCCATGATTTGATTGATTGATTGAACGCACAATGATTAATACTGTACTTTTGTCCACAACAATACTAGAGCCATTGAACAAGAATACATTGAGTGTGCAGGGAGGTTGAATAGAGAGTTTGGGGACAGAAACAAGACCAAGCAGCATATTTCTCTGTCGAAGTCACAAGGTAAGCCACAGGTTACATACAGTGGGTATAGAAAGTCACCACCCCCTTTCAAAATGTTCACCTTTTGTTACCTTACAGCCTGAAATGAAAACACATAAAATCAGACTTTTTCCGGCTTTATTTACACACAGTAACCCACAATATCCAAGTGGGAGAATAAAAATGAAAAAATCATATTAAAATTAAAACAGTAAAATAACCTATTTGGATAAGTGAACACCCCCCTGAGTTAATAGTTGATGGAACCACCATTTTGCTTGAATTACAGCCATGAGTCTTTTTGAATACGTCTCTACTAACTTTGCACACCCAGACTGTGCAATATTTGCTCATTCTTCCTTGCAGAATTGTTCAAGCTCAGTCAAATTGCATGGTGACCGCTCATGGACTGCACTCTTCAAGTAATTCCACAGATTCTCTATGGGATTTAGGTCGGGGCTCTGACTAGGCCACTCAAGGACATTCACCTTCTTGTCCTTCAGCCACTGTATGGTTGCTTTGGTGGTGTGCTTTGGGTCATTGTCATGTTGAAACGTGAACCATCTTCCCATTTTCAACTTCCCGGCAGAGGGCTGCAGGTTCTCGTCAATAATCTGTTGGTATTTTGCACTGTCCATTTACCCTTCTATCCTGACAAGTGCTCCAGTCCCTGCTGAAGAGAAACACCCCCACAACAGGATGCTGCCACTGCCATGCTTTACTGTAGGCATTGTGTTCTTTGGATGGAAAGATGTATTGGGTTTTCGCTAGACATATCGTTTTGCGTTCAGGCCACAAAGTTCAATTCTGGTCTCATCTGACCACAGCACCTTTTGCCACTTGGCCTCGGAATCTACAATGTGCTTTTTGGCAAAGCTCAAATGAGACTTGATGTGGCTTTTTTTTGAGGAGTGTTTTTTTTCTTGCCACCCTCCCATGGAGGCCAGATTTGTGGAGCGCTTGTGATATTGTGGTCACAAGCACACATTGACCAGTCTTTGCCATAAAGGCCTGAAGCTCCTTAAAAGTTGCCATTGGCTTTTTGGGAGCCTCTCTGATCAGTCTCCTCCTTGCCCAGTCATCCAGTTTGGAGGGACGGCCTGATCTATGCAGGGTCTGGGTGGTGCCATACGCCTTCCACTTCTTAATAATGGTCTTAACTGTTCTCCGAAGGATAGACAAAGCCTTTGAAATATTTTTATATCCATCCCGACTTGTGCCTTTCCACAACTTTATCTCGTAGATCTTTTGAAAGTACCTTTCCGCCCATAGTGGATTCTTTGCTTTGAATTGCACTACTAAGCAGTGGAGTCCTCTATGAACAACTGCTTTTATTCTGAACTAATCAAAGTCACTACAATTGATCACAGATGGAAGCCAATTAGCTTAATTTGTGATCTGGAAGGTTGTTGGTTATACCTCAGCAAGTTTGCAATTGCAATTCTAAGGGGGGGTGTTCACTTGTCTAAATACACATGGAACACTGCAGTCAAGGACACACTTGTACAGTCTTTGAAAAGCCATCACGCACTACAGGCAAAAGTGACAGAACTCCAAGGTTGTTCACGTCGTAATAACATTAGACTTTATTCTGTGGCCAACGGCACAGAAAAAGACTTGATGCCCAAATTCGTGGCGGATCTATTCAAATAAATACTTGAAGATGACACTGACTTGGGAATCGAGAGAGCACACCAAGCTAGGGCCTCAAAAAAACCCAGTGGCACCCCACCAAGATCCATAGTTGTATGGTTCCTACAATTCAGTCAAAGAGAAAGTCCTCCGCGCAGCCTGGAAAAAGCCTGTTAACTTCCAAGGCCAACGAGTGTTCTTTGATCATGACTACGTTGGAGAGATACTGAAAAGAAGAAAGGAATACACCCCTATCAAGAAAGCACAAAAAGAGAAAGGGAGTCGCTTCCAAACACCATTCCCTGCAAAGATGGGGAGGATTCAATGAATGGACTGCATATGGTTGATAGTAGGCTATAAGATACAGACCAGACTGTTTTTGTTCCATAATTTATCCCCTATTACATTATACTCACACCCCCCAGCACGCATGACCTATATCTTTTTCTCTTGTATTTAACCGATGTGTGTAAGCGACGAAAGGGCTTACTTTTATATTTTTAAGTCTCAACGTAAACGGATTGGGGAGTGCCATCAAGAAAAGTAAGGTGATAGCAAAGATGAAATGGGAGAGAGTTGACATACTATTCTGTCAGGAAACTCCCTTATCCCTTCCTGAACACGAGAAACTCAAGTAAATGGGATATAGGAATAAATACCTTTTTCTTCTTCTTATAAAACGGGTTAGAAGGGGCGTTTATATCAGAAACAGAAGACAAGGAGGGTAGATTTATCTTTGTTAAATGTAAACTGGATCACAAGGAAGTTACATGGTCTTCTTTAGGAAGGTGTTTGATTTAATTGCCACGGAAACCTCTGGCACTCTTGTCTGTGGAGGGGATTTTAACACAAATCTAAACTCAAAATTGGACAGCACGAATCAAAATAGGAAAACGAGTCTGGTTGCTAAAAAGATCAATAGGATATTACAGGATTTAAGACTGCTTGATGTATGGCGCGACTTCCACATGTCAAATAGGGAACTTTACTTGGCTCATTGCGCTCTAGCAACTCCTTGTGGTGGGATGGGTGCTTGCAGGCTGATGTCAGTTTTGTGCTAGAGAATGCAGGGTGCGCGTAATACCAGAGTGCCCTGCCGTAAGGGTGGAGTGCGCCCAGGTCAGCTGGCGGTCCCGGACACTGGTGGGTACATACACGCGCCCCGGAGGGGTGTTGGCAGGCGCTGGGTCCTCCTGAGCTGCCAGGCAGATGTCTTCGTCCACATCCCAAACGACAGGTGCAACAATGAGAGACGAGGGCAGGATAGGACCCCCCAGATCCTTCCTTTCTCCGGTATGGTGCATCCTGGAGAGTGCGTCAGCTTTCACATTCTGGGATCCTGGGCGGTAGGACAGAATGAATTGAAATCGAGTAAGAAATTGGGGCCACCTGGCTTGACGAGAGTTCATACCTTTCGCTGCCCGTATGTGGTCAGTAAGAATCCGGAATGGATGGACTGCGCCCTCCAGCCAGTGTCTCCATTCCTCCAGAGCGAGGACCACTGCCAACAGCTCCCGGTCTCCAACTCCATAGTTCCTCTCTGCGGGAGTAAGCATTTTTTTGAAAAAGGCACAGGGATACATTTTCTCTGGCTTACCGTGCTGCTGGGAGAGGACCGCACCTCCTCCGATGCGTCCACCTCCAGGATGAAAGGACAAGAGGGATCTGGGTGTTTTAGGATGGGCGCTGTGGTGAACCTCTCCTTCAGCCTCTTGAAGGCATCGTCAGCCTCAGGTTTCCAGGCCCGCTTCTGAGACCCACCCTTAAGGAGAGAGGTGAGCGGGGCGGCTATGGAGCTGAAGGACCTGATGAAACGGCGGTAGAAATTGGCGAAGCCCAGGAAGCTCTGTAGGCCCTTGATGGTGGTGGGAACTGGCCATGATCTGACGGCGTCCGTCTTCACTCCTTCCATGAACACCCCCTGAGGACTGATTCTGTATCCTAGGAAGGAGATGGCCTGTTAGTGGAATTCGCATTTCTCCCCTTTCACTAACAGGCTGTGTTCCCGGAGGCGGAGTAGGACAGCTCAGACGTCCCTGACGTGCTCCTTGAACGTAGCCGAGTAGATCAGGATATCGTTGATGTACAGCATTTGATTCAGTGGGATAGGATTATCTATTCCAAGTTATGGATAGATTTGGTTTCAACAAAGAAGTGATACAGTGCATCAAAACACTGTATTCATGTCCGACTGCTAGAATAAAGATGAATGGACAT